TCATTGACATTACAGCTATGGCGTGATCTTCTGGTTTGACAAAACCATCCTTTGTAGCTCGTTGAGTCACATGGAAGCACAAGCCAGCACACCACGTCAAGGTGCAGTCGCGTTGTGCTGAACGCCAAGTAAGGGCTGAGGTAACTGGACCCAACATCATGAAAGAAACTTCACGATCGACAATTGGAATTACCCGGCTTCCCTAAAGCCAAAGTACGCTATACGCAGTGCTGAAAGTCACAAACATTCGTACACAACACATCTCATGCATACTGAACTGCAGCAAGCAGTACAACGAATTTCGAACACACCGCCAAGGTACATACGATGCGATAAATAAGCATTACTGATGAATATATTACTTCTCTGAAATTCTTCTTGCTATTGGTTAGATTCAGCAGCACCAATAGTGGCACAGTTGAGTTTGTTTAAAACAATCGAAATCGCAAAAGAGTCGTTTTTGGCGTGCTTGTAGTGTACAGCCCATATTCAAACCCACCGCCTAAATTCGTCTTTCTCTTTTTATTCTTGCCTTTCAGAGTATGATCACTTTGCCCACCATGACAACAGAAATGCCAATCGAGAGACGAATCGTGAGACATGATATTGATTGTTATTTGACTCGAAAGACCGACTGTATTTTTTTGTTTCACTGTTTGTGCCAGAGACTTGTCCCCCGCACGCCAAGATCGACACGCTGTATCGTTTTTCGATTAGCCCCACGTACTGTTGACAATACACGTCGTCTCTCAACCTTGTGTTCTTCCTTGTGGAATTATATGACGACTGCTGTTCCGTGTGTTCGCATCTAACTGTTGTGCTCCCTTTTCAGCCAGTTCGATCCTGGTGTGAACAAGGATTATTCGACGTTGCTCTCGTGACCTCAGTGAGTATAGTTCGTCAACCCCCCTGTTCGTATACTACAAAATTGGCGNTACGATGCGATAAATAAGCATTACTGATGAATATATTACTTCTCTGAAATTCTTCTTGCTATTGGTTAGATTCAGCAGCACCAATAGTGGCACAGTTGAGTTTGTTTAAAACAATCGAAATCGCAAAAGAGTCGTTTTTGGCGTGCTTTACACGCGAACTTTATTGATATTGGCTCTAATGGCAGACAGGTGAGTGCTTTTACCTGTTATCCGCGAGATGGTTTATCGTGCTACATAGAGTACCTTGTGAAGTATTTGCATAAAATTATTATGGTTTGCTCGTTCATAGGGGTTTTCCATCACACGGAGGTGGTCGCGGCGGATTTGATCGTGGACGCGGTCGTCCGGGCTATGATCGAGGTCATCCAGGTCATGATCGCGGTCATCCAGGTTATGAGCGCGGTCATCCAGGTTATGATCGCGGTCATCCAGGTTATGATCGAGGTCATCCGGGTTATGATCGCTGTCGTGGGTTCAACGAGGGTTTTCGTGGTGATCCGCGTATGGCTTATGGGTGAGTCCTATACAAAACCTGCGCGTAATTAGTTTTCGTCGTGGCGGACCAGTTACCGGGTTTGTCCATTAACCGAATCGAATTTCGCTGTCCGCACTCGCTAGGGGATTTCAATCCCTAATGTATATCATACAAGCCCAAATTGTCTCTCCCTCGAATATCTTTCACAGACCTCCAAGCGCAAATCGCGGGAGAGGTGGGCCTCGATACTCAGAAGGCGGTTACGAAGGGTGCGGCCAATTATAATCTAACCGTTACTTTATTTTAGGTACCATAGCTATGGTGGGCCGGGCCCGATGCCCGGATTTGAAGGTGGAATGCCTCCACCACTGTTACCGTAAGTACTCGATCTACGCGGTGATTACGTTATTTCTTTTTTTAGTCCACCAGGTCGCAGCCGAGGAGGAGCTCCTTATCGTGGAAATTCTCAACCGTAAGTTGGCACTCTTGCTAGTTCGTGGACGTCTTGGTTGAACAAAGCAGTTGGTTATGGTACTCGTTTACACACGGATACACATGCCCCTTAGGTGATCGAGCACGGGATTGTTATTTATGTGATTTTGCATTGGGCTGAGGAAACATGAAACAACGCTCTCCGGAGCAACCACATTTCCATTGTCTTCATTTGCTGACCACTGTTCGCATTGCTTCAAACCTATCGCCTTAATTGCAGACCTCCATCAGGTCGAGGTCAAGGACCGAGAAGACCGTCCGGCCCTAGTCAGCAAACGCGTGGTTCCAGGTAGGTTTTTTATCAATCTGGTCAATTTTTCAACCTGAACGCTTTATCCTAGAACCAGTTCCGCTGGTCGTAGTGAACCAGAGTAAGTTCAAATGAAATTATTAATAACTTTCTCATTAGACTAAAAATTCCGCAACAGAAACCAACGGAGCGCGGTGACACCATCTCTAATGCATCAAGTACCGAAAACTTGCCAGAGGCCGCTCGACAAAAGAAGAGCCATCCGATCGTCAGGCAAGGGTAAGTGTTACGACCTAATAATCTGCCGAGAGGTTGTGGATAGGAAATATTAATTACCGCTCTTTTTCTTTCTTACAGAGCTGATCTTGCGAGCGCACTATCCAAGTAAGCGTTAGTTTCGCAGCTTTTGAAGACATTGTAAATTAATTGCAAGTGTGAAATTGCTAGTCATTAGCGTATTTCCGTCCATTATGCTTCAGATTGCAAATTCAGCGGTCGATGCGCATTCCAAGCCGCCCCGACGACGGTGGCACATGTGGAAGACGCATGGACGTCATTGTGAATTGTTGGGACATCTCGGTAAAAGCCAAGACTGTGCTAATGTACTTCGTCGAGACGATCGCAGTTTACCGATTAGATAAAGAGAAAGGTGAAAAAGTTGAAGTGAGGATGCCACCTAAAGAGAAAAGAGCCCTTATTCAGCAAATTGTAGATGCGTGAGTTGATTCGATCCATTTGCTTGTTTTCCCAATGGCCACAACCGTGTTCTGTTCATAACCATAATTTTGTCGTGCCACTTATTCGGCGATTGGGATGTGACCGGTCTGCACTTTTGTCTTTCAGGTTGCCTGGGGAGGTTATCTACGATGGCGGACATACAGTGTATTCCGAAGATACCTTAACGGGTATTTCGAAGGAAGGTGTTCAGAAAACAATAGAGATAAAAGACCCGCTAAATCGTGATCAGCTGCTACTGGAATATCGCATCATGGAAGTGCAAACCGTTTCCACAGAAGATGTCGCAAATTACACTGCCAACGAGCACGCTACTTCCCTAGATATGCCCCAAGTAAATACCGATATGATAATTTCATTCTCCTCAGGATAGCATTCGCCTGTTAGATTGCTTATTGAAAACAGTATGCAAAGGAGCATTCGTTGCACTAGGGAGGAACGCATTATATTATGATAGAGCCGAGAACGTCAACGCATCAAAGCTGTTTTCTATACACAAAGGTTTTCTCACAAGCGTAAGGCCTCAATGGAAAGTCAGAGTGAACATAGACATGGTCTGTTTCATTTTCCGTTGCTTCTAAATTATCAGTCCTGCAAAGCTTTCTTTACGTGTGGTAACTTGGCTGACGTGATGTACAACAAGTATGGAGATGACATGCTGCGGTTCGCCAATCAAATGGCTTATGACCTCAAGAAAATCCGTGTTGAAACCATTCCATTCTACAATACAGAAAAAGGTAAGCAAGGTACACCTTGGCGACATGGTTTAGGCGAGAAATACTCAAGACGATTCACTGTCCACGGAATCTCATCTGAGTCCGCACGAACGCTTATGATAAGCGACATAAACCAATCTGTAGAAAAATACTTTTTGGAGCACCATAAAATCGCCCTCAAGTATCCGGAGCTGCCTTGTGTAAAAGTGGGTTGTATTTAAATATTCTTATTAGTTCTAGGTAAGCCTCAGTCGGGATGTTTTCTTGCCCATGGAGTTGCTGAATGTCCTCCCCTATCAAACGCCAAACGCGAGAAAGGCGGATATTGCTAGTGAAGTTATTAGAAGCGCAGCCGTGCGTCCGAACATAAGATTTGAGGAATTGAAGAGATTTGTCAACCGCGTCCTTCAATCGTAAGTATTTTTTTATTGCATCCTTCCGCCACTTATTTTTACATACGGCTCATCGAAATTATTTCATTCCCTTAGGTCCCACCCGTTGGTATCCAGATTCGGTTTGAAAATAAATAACCAGCCGGTTACCGCTCCGGCCAGGGTGCTAGACACACCGGTGGCCAATTTTGGCCATCAGGTTGATACTCTGAAACGTGGAGCTTGGATTCCACCGTCATTCTTCTCACCCGCAGGAGACAGCCAGCCCATTCATTGGGCGATAATTTCCGTACCTGGGCATCCGGTAAGCTTGGCTTAAAACTGATTGATCCCTTTCAGAATGCAAACAGACACCAAAGTATGTTGGCGCAAGAGCTCCCAAAAATCGCTTCTCGTTTTAACATGAGAATGAGCAGACCGGAGCTCGCTATAGCTGCACGTGCATCACTGGGAGAGCATTTCCAAAAATTTCAAGGCAAAGTATGTGCTCAGCGATGCCTGTAAAAATTGAATTGCAAATTCTAGGGTGTCAAAATGGTCTTGCTGGTTTTATACGACGATCAGCACTATCCAAGCATCAAGCGCCTAGGAGATATCCAAACTGGAATGCGAACTCAGTGTGTGCGTGGTCAAACGCTCGAAAAACGTGGTGTTCTTCGTACGTTACTCTTCGTATGTTTTATATGTTTGTTTCAGAAAATCTGCTATACAAGATCAATGGAAAACTCGGCGGTGTTAATTGGCAGTTGAAAAATATGACCCAAGAAGATGAGTTAATCATGGTGTTTGGAGCGGATGTGACTCATCCTGCCCCAACTCAGACACAACACGTTCGACAGTCAATTGCTGCCGTTACGGGTAGCGTTACGCGAGATTTGATGCGCTATGCCGTCGTCGTACGACAGCAGGCTACGACTGAAAAAGGCAGTAAAACAACGCGTGAAATCATTGACGCAATGGAATCAGTTGTGACCGAGTTACTAACCGTAAGTTCTAACCATTGATGTTATTCTTCAATCCAGGCTTTCGGGCGAAATAACAACGACAGGCTGCCTAACAGACTAATATTTTATCGTGACGGAGTTTCTGAAGGCCAGTTTGAGAATGTTCTGGTCGAAGAACTGGCATCAATTCAGCGTGCATGTAGTGCACTCCGCTCCGGCTACGAACCAGCAATAACCTATATCGTTGTCCAGAAAAGACATCATTTACGTTTCATGCCTCTGAATGAGTAAGCCAATGACATTGTAATATTCTTCGCAGCCAAAGGAATGTTGAACCTGGAACGGTAGTTGACACCGAAGTAACGCATCCAAGAGAATTTGATTTCTACCTTTGTTCACAGTATGGAATCCAGGTAGATATGTATTAACATTCTAATCGCTCACCTTCCTCAACAGGGAACTTCGAAACCCGCACATTATCACGTACTTTACGACGACAGTGATTGGTCATCCGACGCCCTACAACAGTTCACATATTTCCTATGTCACGCATACATGCGTTGTCCAAGAAGTGTATCCTTGCCAGCACCGACTTACTACGCCCATCTGGCAGCCTTCAGAGCGAGAGATTGGATTTCGGACTTGAACGAGCCTACAAGCATTCTCAAAGATGGAAAGTTCTGCGTTCACAGTTCCCAAATTACCGGGATGTATTATTTATAGATTATTATTTCACTTTTAACCTTTAAATCAATAAATGTTACGTCTGCGTTTCCTCCGTGTTGATGACTGTTGACGACAGGAAGCATGAAATAGAGAATATGCATGTAATCCCGTTCCGCAGTCATGAAAGTGACGCCCATTAGACTTATTTGAACCATATAGACGTTATGTGCACGTAGAATGTCGCAAAAGTGTATGAATCGTCCTTTGGCGTGCTGGGAGCCCATGATTGTTTTTTTCTGGTTTTGGCTACAGGCTGATCAATTATGACCTAGGGATAGCAGTCGACTCATTTACTCAGGTAGGTGTTATGGAACAAAGCATAAATAGACCGCCCCAACCAATTGGAGGATGCATGTGCCACGTTCTTGTCCGCATCTGTAAGTGCTCAGCCATTCATAGTGAATTCCTGTATAGTCCAACAGATACTCGCATTTGTCCTGCTACTTAGGCCAAATAGAACTAGTTCAACTGGTACGCTAACTCAAATTTGAGTAAGCGTACCACTGCAACGAGGTCGTTTCCTCGACCACAAAAAATTGCAGGTTCTATTGGACCTTCGTTGAGCCAGACCACGCATTAGTTTTGATGCGGTTCACTCTCCGACTGACTGGCCGGCGACGGATTTAGCACACTCCAATGGTTCATCATCCAGCAGTTCGTGTACGCTAATAACCAGAACTAGTGCGTGGGCTAAGCTCACCTCAGCCTGATGATATAAATGAGCAGATTAGACGAGCAGTGCATTACGCAAGAGTCAGTAGTCCTGTTTGTTAAAAAAACGACGAATCTCGACCTGCCAGGATCGGGGGCAGTGTTAGGTGTTATCTACAAGGTCAGCTTACGAATAGCTTCAGGGAATACTGCGAGAACTAGTTTCGGTTTTTACAACCATTAACCATGCACTCGTGCGCGGGTTTTAGTTGCTGTCTTTTGGTGCTCCATAAAAGAAGCAGAATAAAGATTGGAATAATGAAAGCAAATTCAAGCGGAATATGGAGAATTCATACAGAATGGTATTGGGAGAATGATGAGTGAATGCAAGAACACCACTGTTTGCGACGCAGCCATATCGCTCAGTGTCTAACTATCGGTGACCGTATCCCGAGGTCGCCAGCCAGGGGGCCTATATGACAGTCTCCTGGTTAGGGCTTTCATACCCTCATGCCAGATCTTCGTTTGGCCACCCTCTACCTATTTCCAACCGCCATCGGCCTCGGCAAACATCACTCGCCGTGGCAACCTATCTGGTGACATGCGTAGCACATGTCCCAACCAGCGTAATCTATGGAGGTCGATCACTTGCTCAGTGGGCGACCGCGGTTACCTAAAACTCGACGCCTAAACTCAGCAGTGCCCGTCCGGTTACCCCACCAGACTGGCGCAATGCGACGTAGACAGTGGTGTTCGAACATTGACAATTTACTTTTATCCTGTGAGAACTGGTGGGCAACAATATCTAGTAAAATGGAAGAAGCAGCTACGTCAGGGAATAGTAAAGGACTGACACGTAATACGGGAGGTCGGCGAACTCCAGTTAGTGAAACAGGACGATAAGGGGGGACAAGCTATTCACAATAGGGATGAGCGACTTGATTGCTGGACAAAGTACTTCCGCTAACCAGGTTGCATCATCCGCAACTGAAGCTCCTTGGGCAGTGTTGTGCGATCCCCCAACGGAGGCAGAAGTTCGGTCATGAATTCAGGCTCTGAATCGAAGAAAAGCAGCTAGACCGGATGGGCTCCCTCCCACTGTTCAAGATTGGAAGTGATAACCTCGTATGATGTATCACTACCTCTCTGCGTAGCATTTGAACGCAAGAATACGTTCTTTCATTTTGGACGAAACACTGATCGTTCTCATTTTCAAGAAATGTCTATGATGAAGTAAGTAGGCCATTCTTCACCAGCAGCAGCGTTCTTCAAGATTGCCCTCTCTCGCCGTTCCTGTTCTATTTCGTCATAGACGACATGCTGGAGGACGCACTTAGTGGTCTTCCAAACGTAGTTCTTGAATCGGCGGCAGGAAAAAACTGCGATTCAGAATACGTCGATGTTGTCTGTCTGTTCGAATCTACGGAGGATGAATAAAGTGCAATTGACAGTTTAGCAAGTTTTTTCGCTCCGTTCGGCATGCGCTTTGCAACTTGAAAGTGCAAAGTGATACCGCAAGACTGGGTTTCGTCGAGTTTCGTTCTGGAATTAGCTGTGGTTGATTGCTTCTCGTATTTGAGTGACTGCATGACCAACGACGGTAGCGCATCAAAGGAGATAGCCACCCGCATTTACAAGGCTCAAGCAGCGTGCGCATTACATCTGTGTCGAGGACGCGACGTTTCTGTGAAGTTGAAAAGTCACGGATACTGTGCCACTGCTATCAGTTCCGCTTTGCAGACCGAGTCGTTTTCGATAATGGATGCCTACGTAGACAAGCTGGGATGGAGTGAGCAGGTTGGTAACTTGAAAGTAAGTCGTAAGGGAATTTGGGAATGGATCAAACACGAGCTAGCTAACGCACCGAATTCGACTCGATAGGTGCCTTGCTTAGGACACGTTTTGTGTATGTCCGACGGTCGCCTACCGCAGTGCGCCTTATTTTCAGTAGCTATTGCCCACTTGAGAAAGTCAGGTGCAGGCCAGCGGATGACGTGACGACGCATGAATGAATGCACTGAGTAGGTGTCTCTTGTCTTCCGGTTTAGGGTTAGAAAGACTTCGTAGCCGCATGGTTGAGGACACTAAAGGTCATGGCAGCAAACCGACATCAAGGCAGATCTTGCTATCACTTATCAGACCAGGATTTCCATTAGTATGCATCATGAGTTTGACAACGGTTAATGAAGTTCGCTTCACTGTGTTACACTTTACAATGATGCAGATAATGAGACTGGCAGAAACCCTTTTTGCACTTTCGCTGGGTAATGACACCATGGAATTAGTCCAAGCTTTACCTCAGGAGTTGCCTAACTGTTGGCGGCGGTGTGAGCGAGGATATTTCAATACTTGGTAATTTTCCACGGGGAAAAACCATTCCACTGCACCGTCTTAGCTGGTTGGGATGCGTCCTACGA